AGTGGGAGAACTTGCACAATTGGTGGCTGACTAAATACTTTTTTGCCCCACTGTAGATACTATACAACAAAAGGCATAGTGTGGCACAGCTGCCCTAATTTTCTAGCCAACATATTTTTCCGCATGTTTGAGGTAATTTCTTTCTTCTGAGATGTTTTTCCAGGGTATTTTTGTTCACTTCTGAATTAAACTTGTGTATTATATTTTATGTTCTCTTGGTTTCATATAACTCATTTATACTGGCTTTTCCTCAGTAGCCAGTCAGTGACCCTTTGAAACTTCAAACTACTTTAGTATCATTACCTAAAGAAGATGTTTTCTTACTAGAAATAGGAAATGTCAGGAAGATACAGTTTGCAAAGCTGTAATGCAGCTGTTGCTTATTCAGCACTTGGCAATCAATGGCAGCAAAATATATTTGCAACTTCAAGGACTATCTTACCTCTATCTAATTTTTTTAATGGACATACAAACTCTTAAGAGCTCAAGTTTGGATGAGTTTCCAACAAAATCTTCTTTCTCTTCCTTCTCCATGTACATTGTCTGGATCTTTTTCAAATGCATAAAATTAATGCTTGGAACAATGAATCCTTTTTATACCTAAAATAAAACCTCCATAAAATCATTTTTTTTCTAATTTGTCATTTCTTTTTTTATTCTCCTCACTGCTTTTTCCTGAGAGCCTTTAATTCTCATCTTTTATCATCTCCCTTTATATTGCCAAAAGTAGGATTGTTGATTTAAATTGGAGGGTAGAGAAATGGTAAAGTGACCCTTTAAATTAATTTTTGTGAAGAAACAAGCATGTAAGCTGTGGTAACTAATAGGATGATTAGTTTAGGCAAAATGTAGCACATGTTTCACACATCTCTTTGCCCAAGATGCAGATTTGTAGGACAGAGCCCATCATATAGGTAGGATTCAATAGGTAGGATTTTCTGTTATTAATTTTCCTTGGTTTCTTAAAAAAAAAGTAAATGTGGAAGTCCCTTAGTGACACCTTTCCCATTCATATGCTTTTATGATTTCTGTACTGAGAAGGAACAAATATTGGCAGATACAAAAACAACAAAAGGATACTTAGGAGATAAACCAATAAAGCTGAGTTTTGATGCCTTAATTTCCTGCATTGTTTTCTCTACCAGGTGATACATTGGAACTCACCCAAAAAGTTGAGAGTAAAGAACAAGCATGTGGAGTTTTTCCGCAACCTCTATCTGACATTCCTAGAATATGATGGGAACTTGCTGAGGCGAGAGCTTTTTGGATGTCCCAGTGAAGCTGATGTCAACAGTGAAAATGTAAGCTGGGCTTAAACTTGGGGATGGCTTTGATTTCCACAAATGAATGTAATTTGGAAGGGAGGGAAGGACTATCTCTTAAGTAGAAGATTGCAGTTGTGCCAAATAGTGTTTTGCCTTTAGAGGAGTCAGGTAGACTAACTAGCAGAGGTTCCTGCATAGCCAGCCCAAGACAATGGGCTGCCTGTGGCAAAGAACTGGATGGTGCTTCTTCCCATCTCATTACTGAAAGCTGATTGGACTAGCAGATGAATCTTCCTTCCGTGCTGGGCATGGGGCACAGTCTTTCACTATGTCTTGAGACAAAAGCTCTCCAGATAGTGAAGCAGACCCAAGCTCTTCCTAGTGTCTTAATTTGAAACGTTGAAGGTTTAACTCAGAACTTTTTGCAACAAACATTCTGAGCTAAAATGAACTTTTCTCCAAGAATAGGAATGTAGAGGAAAATAGACTAAAGTTTTGTGCAACCACAATAATCTGAGGTGGTGAAATGATGTCTTTCAAGTTATATGTCTTGTATATATTTATATATTGCAAGCCATATAATAGGGAGGCATTTTAAAGTACAATTATTGTGTAAGTATATGAAATTTCAGGTAGTTTTCTTCAGTAATAGCTATAGGCAGAATCCTTCCTCCTTCCAGGTACCTAGGAAATATAATGGCAGTGTTCATATCAAGTAGAACAAAATTTGCAATTCAAGTCCCTCAACAAAATGGTCCCGTAAATTTAAATGTAGGCATATTTATATATATAGCTTCTTTCTTTTTGTGCACGTAGTAGCCATTTATTCAAAGTGTCAGGAAGGAGGCTATACTATGTGATGCATCTAAATTGGTGCTCTGCAAAGCAACAACATTCAAGAACTATTAATAGTAACAGAGAAATACGTTAGAATGGTATAATAAGAAGAATATTGGTCTGTTAGCTTCATTACATATTGAGTAGTCATGACTGGTTATAACTATTGTTAAGTATGCTTATAAATATCTTATCAGGAAGTCTAAATGCCAAATATTATGTTCTGAACAACTGCTTATAGGTTTCCCAAATGTACATCAACCTGTCCAGTGTTTGAATAAAGGGATCTTTTCCTTAATACATTCCTAGCCAGCATGATCCATGATGGGAGTTATAAATCAACACATGTGGAAAGTACCAAGCTGGAGAAGGCTAATTTAACATAACCTGTCCTATTCTTCATTTAAGTCAGCCACAGTTTCTTTTTTTCAAGCAATATAGATAGTGGCATATTTAGATGCTTTCCATTTTCCAGTATTTAATGTCACTGAATTAGAAGTGTTGATTATCTGACAGAAATTCTTCATGATACTGTACTTTCCATTTTGCTTTATAGACACACATTTTCCCAGTTTAAAACATGGATGTAAACAGGTCTACAACCTCAGTGGGAGTGGGGCTAATGGCAAGAACACAAAGACAGTGAAAAAGCTGTGTGTTTGTGTGCCTAGCAGATGCATATTTCATTTGACTTTGAGACCAATAGGCTGAGTAGCTAGGCTAAAATGGGACTGGGTACTTTGGGGTTCAGCATGTTGGAGGTCAGTAGCCATTTTCTTTGCATGGCCATTGCTTTAAGCCATATTAAGATTTATTTGTTGGGTATAGTATGTTATGTAAACACAGCAATTATGTTTTGTTAACCAGAATTTAGGTATTAGCATGCAATCCAACTATAATGTATTTGAGAAATATGGGTGAAAATCAAGGGTTTTTTCCCCCAAAGGTAGAAGACATCTGATGACTTCAGATACAGGCTTTTTTAATGACTATGTTGACAGAACCATGTAGATTTCTTTGCAAGTATGTTGAAGTTTTATTTCAAGATTTTTTTAAACTTCCTAACTAGCCTACATCCTTGGTATTCTTGGTGGTCCAACCCTGCTTAGCAACAATAACTGGATGGGTATTGTGATTTTGTGGTTTCAGACACCGGTGCCCAGTCTTGTCAGAGCAGCCTTGATTGTCAAAATGTTGGATACGATATATGGAAAATAGTGAGAAGATAGGGCCCCATTTGAATTACCGGTCATTTGGGGTCTTTAAGGAAGAGTATCTGATCTCTAAGCAAAACCATTCTCTAATGTACTCCCATCATTTCATTATAGCTGTTTCCTCCAGAGAAATTATCAATGCTGCCATCTCTCCTATATTCTTCCCTAACCCCAGCCATTCTGCAAAATGTAAAGACAAAAAGAAGAAAGGAATAACATTCTTTAGCAAGTGCAACCTATAATCTTCTTTTTCCTATTCAAGTTGGAGTATGGATGATAAAGCAATCAACTTTGTACTCAGAAAACAGAATAGTAGTACAGGGAGACTGCCGGGGAGGATGGTGCTTGTATTTCAAAATGTGTTTCTTTGCACTACATGTAATTTTAGTGCTGAGGGCAGGAAGCAAATTATACATGCCCAGTAGACAGGCTGGCCGTACACAGAAGAAGACAGAGTTCAGCATTTAAACAGCTTTGGCACTGATAATTTGGGTGCCGGCTGAATGATAGCTTTCATTGTTTACAAGATCAATGGTTTATGCCTGTCACTGGCAATCTGGCAGTGTCAGAATTCACCCTCAAGGGGTTCTTTCAATATGTAAGCTGTTACAATTTAGCAAGTTGTGTTATTAGAGGTATTGCTTTAGAATTTAATTTGTAATTAAGAGAGCTGGTTTGGAATGCAAATATCTGTTAAATACCTAATGGAGTTCACTTGGTTTTATACTGCCCTCAGTTATGTTTTGGCCTCATTACAACACACTAAGCACTAAGAAGAGGCATTACCATGGGCATAAATTAGATTGCTTTTGCCTTCTTTTTGTTTCTTTGCTTATATGCAAAGTAATCCATTCTTCTCCATATAATGCATATTTTTAACATGCTGTTAGTTCATTTTCCTGTGCATTTTTTCTTGTTTGGATTTCAGTGTTTTGAATTAAAGTTAATTGTTGTTTCTACCATTCGTTTGGATGAATTAGGGTTATGGAAGGAGGTAAGTCATATACATTAAACGAGCTCCACAACTAGCCCCATAGAAAAGAAATAGATCACAGTTTTCCTGTGGTGATTGTATATTTTTAATAAGGTATGTATGCAAGCTTTTTTTCTTGTGAAATTGTTGCTACCTGATCATTGCTATACCAAGGAGAAACAGAGGTGTAGGAGCTGATGTGTTGGAATGTCCTGAAAGGTTTACTAGAAGAAGTCTGCATAGCTATGACAACTCCACAGATGGCAGTGATTTTCAGAGGAAGAAACTCAAAAATTTGGCATACCTGACCTTGGAGCTAAGATGTAGTATTCATCACACCAACATATGTGTGATTGTTGTGACTGTAGGGTTTTTTTTATCCTTGTTCTGTTTCATGTTAATTTTCCAGAGAGAAGAGATGTTAGAATCCATTAAAAAAAACTTTCAGCCACTGAACATTAACTTGTATGAGGTAAGGGATAAAGGAGTCCAATTCCATTACCATGGCAGCAAAACAACAGGTTGTATATGTTGGGGAGAAAAATGGAAGGGGTTAAGAAAGAAATATACTTTAAGTAAAATGGAATATCTAGAGATTTACCAAATAATAATTATTGGAGAAAATATATGAGAAATAATCAGTGCTAGGTCATACTTGTCTGGTAGAAAGCAGTTGGTGAACAAGCTTCATTTATCAGTAATGAAACCTTTGAGAAGGGCCCACAAATAAACTTGCAATCATTAGCATGAAGACTGCCTTTCTCGACAAGTATCTTTGCTCCAATCATAGACTTCCCAAAATAACATCAGGTCAGCCAGGAATCTGAGTGTACAAAAGGGACTAATAGCTTGTATTTGTACTTGTATTGCTTGTGTTTATCTCTTTCTCTTTCTTGGAAGCATTTTGGGTACCTCCAAACCACACAGCACAAAATGCCAGACAGTACCTTGCCCCATACTCCAAGCCTGAAAAATGTGATAGAGGCAAGTTTGGTTCTCTGACTTCATTCCCTGTTTATGGAGCTGTCAAAATTAAAACTATTATACAGTTTTATATATACAGAGTCACTTATACAGTGAGATGTGCGGCATATAAATTTAATAAATAAATAAAATAAAACTAAGCAATTAAATTGTCAATCAACAAAAAAAAAAAAAAGCTGAAACTCCAGTTAAATTCAGAACCACTACTTTAGTGCTTGGAAGAACACCAATTAACATTTGTGTACCAGCAGGACAATGTTGTATATATAGATCCTGTTTCTGAAACATTCATAAAAATGTCTCTTCTAGACAATTCCTTTGGAACAATGTCTTATTTGTGGAGATATTCTTTTAAAAGCTTAGGTTTTATAGGTATTTCTACATTTTTTTAGTATGATTCCAGCAACACTTTTAGAAATCAGAAAAATCAATAAGTGAAATTAAATAAATGAGTATTAGATGATAAACATATCTGGACAAACATCCTCTTTTTTTTCTTTTTTTTTTCTCAAATGGGGAGCCACTCCTTAGGAAGCTCCCTATGGTAGAAAGAGCCATAATAAGTATGCGCGTTCACTACTAGCTGGAAAAGAAACCTATTAGGACAAATCTCATCATGTTCTTATGTGGGCCCCTTCTGTTGATGGATAACAGTTTGGAACTTCATGGAACACTATAATTAGAAATACAAGTGACTGTCTGTAATCGTTATATCAAAGAGAAAATTTTAAGAGATGCAGCTTCAGGCTAATTCTCTGATTATCATGCCTCCAAACAGATCTTCTATATAACTGTTAAATATTTATTTTTTATTAATTATATTACTACCTCAATACAATCAAAACAACTCTTCTCATCTTATAGTATATATAAAGCAAAAATTAAAACATCAGTGTTTAGATTAAAACTAATCAGAATCATCATCATAATAATTACATCAAAGCCCACATAAAAACACGAAAACAAGATGGTATCAGGTATCAACTTAAGAAAAGGCCCTCCAAAACAATTCAGTTTTAAACATTTTC